AAAAAAAAAAAGCCTTAAAAAATGAAATAAACTGCCCATGTTTTAATTGCAAGGAAGAGGTGTCAGGATTCAGATCCACATGTCATACCAAATCCTGCCCTCTGTATACTAAACCTGCTGGCAAGTTGTCCTAGATGACAGGGACTGTCCCCTCACCTTCCTCACCTCCACCTCCTGCAAGACCACCCTCTTCCCAGGCCTGGACCCATCAACACACACTTACTGAGGCCTTGCTAACTGCCAGGCCCCAGCTGTACCTTGGTGCATGGGGTCGACCTGGCTCAGGTGAGTCCTCACCTGTCAAGGACTGCTGCCCTTCATTTCTGGGCTGACCCGGTGTGGTCAGGGCCAGCCAGATTTGACTGATGGCTGGGGCCCTGGTCCTTCTCCAGGGGAGGGTCATTCCTTGGAGAACATTTCTGGTCACCCTTCTCCAGGCCTTTGGACCTGTTGCGGACTGGGGTGGAGGTGACAACAAGCACCTAGGTGCCCTTCCTCTCCAGGTGCCTACCTTCCCACAGGGCTCTGGACCGCAGCTACAGGCAGCCAGAGCCATGGCTGGCAACTACCTGAGGTGGTCGGGGGAGCCCCCAGCATGTCAGGCCCTGGACAGAGGTTCTGGAGCTTGCGTTCCAGTGCCAGCAGGTGCTTTGTGCCAAGTGGCCTGAGAGGCCTGGGTGTACCTAGTCAGTAAGACTGTCCTTGTGAGTTGTGCAGGGTCTGAGGACAGATGTGCACACAAAGGAGATGTGGCAAACACAGGAAGACAGAGGAGATGGTGGCATGGAGAGGGCTAAGAGAGGGGACGTGTGCTGTTGGGGAAGGCAGCCCGGGACACTTCGTCACCAGGAGGTAAGGCATCCTCATAGCCTGGGCTGACCTTTGTCACCTGCATGGGAATCTCTTCCCTAATTCTTTTGTTCTGCTTAAGTGCATGCATGGGTGCTCATGTGGCACCTGGCCAACCCCACTGCTCTATCTGTCCTTTGTGGGGAGGGGACGGATTCTTCTGCCACAGCACAGAGGGATGTGTGCAGGCCAGTGGCCATGGGGGACTCAGACCCGCCACTGATGCCAATCTTGCTCGGTCTCCTCCCTGTGAGAGTAAAGTGTCCCACTGGGGTGTGAGTGCATGTTTGCCTTGGGACTCCGGTGACAAGGGTCAGTGAGCAGAAGTGCCAGGATCTCTGCTCCTGAGAACAGGGGACAGCTGCAACTTGCTGCTCCCTGCCCAGCCCCCCCACCGCTCTCCTCTCAGGCCTAGAGCAGCTCCCCCTCCCGATGTCACCTTACACTTCTCTGGGCACCCCAGAAAGACACCTCTTTGTCTATTACCTCTGTTTTGCTCCCCTATAAAATGGGGCAAAAATTTCAACAATAGTGACTTTGGGGAAGTGGGATTGAACTTGACTTTGCACTTGATTTCTTGATTTTACTTTAGATCATTTGTGGATGACAACAAGCAGGCATGGTTTTGGTAGTGAAAAGATACAACAGTTTTTTCCACTGCTCCCCACTCATCGCAGGCCGTGCGGGAGCATAGACACACCCTTGTCCCCTGTAACTGTTACTAAGCAACGGTCTCCAGAGAGGCACTGGAGTGGGCCTGAGCCCCAGGCGCTTTCCCTCACTATTGCAGGCAGTAGCGACAGGCCTTTCTGCATATCTAACCCAAATGCCTGTCTCCACTTTTGCCAATAAGCCAGACAGAACACAGGGTGGGTGTTGTGACTCTGGAATCGGTGGCCTTCTGAAAATGAAATGCACCTTTTTTCAAGGTCCAAGGCAGTGTGGGGAGTATTCTACCTTTAGGTAAGAAAGAGAGAAAGTACAAAATCAGATAAAGAACCTCTAGAAGGATACACAGGAAACCAATAAAAGGGGTACCTGGTTTGGGGGGACTGGGGCAATGTGGCAGGTGAGGGCAGGACAGGAGCAGGACATGCCACTAGAAACCCTTCTGTACTG